CCACCCTCTCCCCTCACCTCTCCCCTCACCTCCCACCCTCCACCCTCCACCCTCCACCCTCTCCCTCACCTCCACCCTCTCCCCTCACCTCCCACCCTCCACCCTCACCCTCCACCCTCTCCTCACCTCCACCCTCACCCTCTCCCCTCCCTCCACCCTCCACCCTCCACCCTCCACCTCCCTCACCTCCCACCCTCCACCCTCCACCTCCACCCTCTCCCCTCACCTCCCACCTCCCACCCCTCACCCTCCACCCTCTCCCCTCACCTCACCTCTCCCTCACCTCCACCCTCCACCCTCCACCCTCCACCTCTCCCTCACCTCCCACCCTCCTCTCCCCTCACACCTCCACCCTCCACCCTCCACCCTCCACCCTCTCCCTCACCTCCACCCTCCACCCTCCACCCCTCCCTCACCTCCACCCTCCACCCTCCCCTCACCTCCACCTCCACCCCTCTCCCTCACCTCCACCCTCCACCCTCCCACCCTCTCCCTCACCTCCCACCCTCCACCCTCCACCCCTCCACCCTCTCCCCCTCACCTCCACCCTCTCCCTCACCTCCACCCTCCCACCCTCCACCCTCCACCCTCTCCCTCACCTCCACCCTCCACCCTCTCCCTCACCTCCACCCTCCCACCCTCCACCCTCCACCCTCTCCCCTCACCTCCCACCCTCCACCCTCCACCCTCTCCCTCACCTCCACCCTCCACCCTCACCTCCACCCTCTCCCCTCACTCCACCCCTCCACCCTCTCCCCTCACCTCCACCCTCCACCCTCCACCCTCCACCCTCTCCCCTCCACCTCCACCCTCCACCCTCCACCCTCCACCCTCTCCCCTCACCTCCACCCTCCACCCTCCACCCTCTCCTCACCTCCACCCTCCACCCTCCACCCTCTCCCTCACCTCCACCCTCCACCCTCCCCTCCACCCTCTCCCCTCACCTCTCCCTCACCTCCACCCTCCACCCTCCACCCTCCACCCTCTCCCCTCACCTCCACCCTCTCCCCTCACCTCCACCCTCCACCCTCCACCCTCCACCCTCTCCCCTCACCTCCACCCTCCACCCTCCACCCTCTCCCCTCACCTCCACCCTCCACCCTCCACCCTCCACCCTCTCCCCTCACTCCACCCTCTCCCTCCTCACCCTCCACCTCCACCCTCACCCTCTCCCCTCACCTCCCACCCCTCCACCCTCCACCCTCTCCCCTCCTCCACCTCACCCTCCACCCTCCTCCCTCCCTCCCACCCTCCACCCTCCACCCTCCACCCTCTCCCCTCACCACCACCCTCCACCCCTCCACCCTCTCCCTCACCTCCACCCTCCACCTCCACCCTCCACCCTCTCCCCTCACCTCCACCCTCCACCCTCCACCCCTCTCCCTCACCTCCACCCTCCACCTCCACCCTCTCCCCTCACCCACCACCCTCCACCCTCCACCCTCCACCCTCTCCCCTCACCTCCACCCTCCACCCTCCACCCTCCACCCTCTCCCCTCACCCACCCTCCACCTCCACCCTCTCCCCCCACCTCCACACCCTCCACCCTCCACCCTCCCCCACCTCCACCCCTCCACCCTCCACCCTCTCCCCCTCACCTCCACCTCCACTCTCTCCCCCCCACCTCCTCCCTCACCACCACCTCCACCCTCCTCCTCCCTCACCTCCACCCTCCACCCTCCACCTCCCCTCACCTCTCCCCTCACCTCCCACCCTCCACCCTCCACCCCTCTCCCCCTCACCTCCACCCTCCCCCCCTCACCTCCACCCTCCACCCTCCACCCCTCCACCCTCCCCCACCTCCACTCCACCCTCTCCCCCTCACCTCCACCCCTCCACCCTCCACCTCCACCCTCTCCCCACCTCCACCCTCCACCTCCACCTCCCCTCACCTCCACCATCCACCTCCACCTCCACCTCCACCTCTCCCCACTCCACCTCCACCTCCACCCTCCACCTCTCCCCTCACCTCCACCTCCACCTCCACCTCCACCTCCCCTCACCTCCACCATCCACCTCCACCTCCACCCTCCACCCCTCTCCCCCCCACCTCCACCCTCCACCCCCTCCACCCTCTCCCCTCACCTCCACCTCCACCCTCCACCCTCCACCCTCCACCCCTCCCCTCACCTCCACCTCCACCCTCCACCTCCACCCCCTCTCCCTCACCTCCACCCTCCACCCTCCACCTCCACTCTCCCCCCCACCTCCACCTCCACCCTCCACCTCCACCCTCACCTCCATCTCCACCCTCCACCTCCACCTCCCTCACTCTCCACCTCCACCTCCACCTCCTCCTCACCACCACCTCCACCTCCACCTCTCCCCTCACCTCCACCTCCACCTCCACCTCCAACCCCCCACCCACCCTCCACCCTCCACCCCTCCCCCACCCACCCCCTCCACCCACCCTCCACCCTCCACCCCTCCACCCCTCTCCTCCCCCACCTCCACCCCTCCACCCTCCCACCCCTCTCCCCTCACCTCCACCCTCCACCCTCCACCCTCTCCCTCACCTCCACCTCCACCTCCACCCTCCACCCTCCACCCTCCACCCTCTCCTCACCTCCACCTCCTCCACCTCCACCTCACCTCCACCTCCACCTCCACCTCCAATCCTCCCCTCACCTCCACCATCCACCCTCCACCCTCCCCATCTCCACCCTCTCCCCCACCCACCATCCACCCTCCACCCTCCACCCTCCAACCCCCTCCCCCCCACCTCCACCCTCCACCCTCCACCCTCTCCCCCCCCCACCTCCACCCTCCACCTCCCACCCCCTCCACCCCTCTCCCCCTCACCCTCCACCCTCCACCCTCCAATCCCTCACACCACCACCTCCACCTCCACCCTCTCCCTCACCTCCACCCTCCACCTCCACCTCCACCCTCTCCCTCACCTCCACCTCCACCTCCACCTCCACCCTCCACCTCTCCTCACCTCCACCCTCCACCTCCACCCTCTCCTCACCCCACCACCTCCACCTCCACCTCTCCCTCACCTCCACCTCCCCCTCCACCCTCCACCTCCACCCTCCACCCTCTCCTCACCCTCCACCCTCCACCTCCACCTCCCTCACCCCCACCCTCCACCTCCACCCTCCACCCTCCTCCGTCACAGCGCCATACATATTACAATCGTTCTTAAGTCTCTCTCCTGTCTACACACACACACACACACACACACACACACACACACACACACCACACACACACACACACACACACACACACACACACACACACACATTTTATTACAGTTATCAAACCAAATAATCAGTGTTCCAATTAATAGCCAATGTACTAGTCTTAAAGCTTACTATTATTACAGCCATTATTGGCACACCTGAAGATTAACCCCAGCTTATATTACCTGAAGATTAAACCCCAGCTTATATTACCCTGAAGATTAACCCCAGCTTATATTACCTGAAGATTAACTCCCATGATATTACCTGAGATTAACTCCCAGCTTATATTACCTGGAGATTAACTCCCAGCTTATATTACCTGAAGATTAACTCCCAGCTTATATTACCTGGAGATTAACCCCAGCTTATATTACCTGGAGATTAACTCCCAGCTTATATTACCTGAAGATAACTCATTATATTACCTGGAGATTAACTCCCAGCTATATACCTGAAGAAACCCCAGCTTATATTACCTGAAGATTAACTCCCAGCTTATATTACCTGAAGATTAACCCCAGCTTATATTACCTGAAGATTAACCCCCAGCTTATATTACCTGAAGATTAACTCCCAGCTTATATTACCTGAAGATTAACCCCAGCTTATATTACCTGGAGATTAACTCCCAGCTTATATTACCTGAAGATTAACTCCCAGCTTATATTACCTGAAGATTAACCCCAGCTTATATTACCTGAAGATTAACCCCCAGCTTATATTACCTGAAGATTAACCCCCAGCTTATATTACCTGAAGATTAACCCCCAGCTTATATTACCTGGAGATTAACTCCCAGCTTATATGCACCTGAAGGTTAACCACTCTAATCTAACCTAACCTAACCTAACCTAACCTAACCTAACCTAACCTAATCTCCCAGATTATTACGCTGGGTTACGTTAGGTTAAGTTGGATTAAGTTAAGGTAAGCTTGGTTACTGTAGGATAAGCTAGGTTAGGTTGTTTAAGCTTGAGGTTAAATACACTGGATTAGGTTAGGTTGTTTAAGCTTAAGGTTAAATAAGCTGGATTAGGTTAGGTTGTTTAAGCTTGAGGTTAAATACTCTGGATTAGGTTAGGTTGTTTAAGCTTGAGGTTAAATACACTGGATTAGGTTAGGTTGTTTAAGCTTAAGGTTAAATAAGCTGGATTAGGTTAGGTTGTTTAAGCTTGAGGTTAAATACTCTGGATTAGGTTAGGTTGTTTAAGCTTAAGGTTAAATAAGCTGGATTAGGTTAGGTTGGTAAACTATAAGCTGCGGGTGTAATCATCGTCTGTGTGTTAAAGCTTGAGTGTGTGAGGTTTTAACAGCTGCCTGTGATTGGTGTCTTCATTCCATTTATATATGAACACTTGTTGACGCTTTTCTGAGGTAAACATCGACTTACCAGCGTGACTCTGCCTCCTGTGGCGGCCTTAACAACCTCTACATACACAGGGAGATGGTTGGCTGCTGCTCGTTAGGGTGGATGGAGATGCCTGTTTGATCAATGCTCACTAACTTTATTTTGTTTTCACTTCTTTAAAAATGTTTTATTATATATATTGGAGTATTTTCAGGTTACTATATAATTATACAGTACTTAAAAAAAAATAATTAAACTAAATACTAAAATCAAAAATACCAAAATTTCACAATACGGCATCATAACCCCCTTAGCAACCATCAACCAATGACCTGGTAGGAGTTATGTGGTTGCTAAGGAAGCTAAACTGGACAGAGGGTTGTGGTCACGTCGTCATCATCACAATACAAATATGTCCAGTAAATTTTTATGTTATGTATAAAAGTCAATAAAGCAGATAATTAGCGATGACCTTTATTACCCAAGAGCTCCACAGAGGCCCGTGTGAGGTGGTCCATGGCCCGTGTGAGGTGGGCCATGGCCCGTGTGAGGTGGGCCATGGCCCGTGTGAGGTGGTCCATGGCCCGTGTGAGGTGGTCCATGGCCCGTGTGAGGTGGTCCATGGCCCGTGTGAGGTGGTCCATGGCCCGTGTGAGGTGGTCCATGGCCCGTGTGAGGTGGGCCATGGCCCGTGTGAGGTGGTCCATGGCCCGTGTGAGGTGGTCCATGGCCCGTGTGAGGTGGTCCATGGCCCGTGTGAGGTGGTCCATGGCCCGTGTGAGGTGGTCCATGGCTCCACCCCTTGGTCTGATGGCCTCTGCAACGATCACTGACTGAGGCCATGTTAATTTGGTAAGGTTGGTATTTCTGGTTGTGTGATGCATTGTGTAACCAGTATAATGTAGTTTTTATATCACATATAGTTAATACAGAGAAATTAACAGGAATCGCCCGCGTAAATGAGTGTTGTTCAGAATTCTTGGTCCGGTGTGTCATATTGTATAACACCATAAAGGGGCAGAAATGTTTGTTGTTGACTAAACATAATTGTATCACCACATTCCTAACTGTGCATGGTGATGAAAGGCACAGATACACCACATTTATTGACCTAAAAGCTGCATTTGATATTGCCAATAGGCAACTGATATTGTACGAACTAGCCAAAATGGATATAGGAGGTAGGCTGTTACACTGGATAAGTGGTTACCTAACCAACAGAAGGGCTACTGCACTGTTTCAGGGTTACAAAAGTGAAGTTAAAGATATGCATCTTGGTACCCCTCAAGGTGGAGTACTTAGCCCCACTTTGTTCAATGTTCTTAAAGCACATACAGAAAACTCAGATCAAACAACAATGACCCTAAATGGATAAATAATTATTTAAAGAATATTATAGGACAAAGGAAGGCTATAGGTAGCAGAATAAATCGTGGTGAAGTTTACCTCCGAGATTATTATAAGGTATTGGCCGGTAGGGTTAAGACCAAGATAAGAAAAGCAAAGAGGAATAATGAACTGAAGGTAGCAAGGGAGGCGAAGTCAAACCCCAAGGGATTCTATCAAATGTATCAAACTAAAACACGAGAAAAGATTGGACGAACACAGTCAGATACCGGCGAGCTAACTGATAACGACGGAGAAATGAGCAATAATCTGAATAAATGTTTATCAACAGTTTTCACCACCGAAAATTTAAACATGATACCCGAGGCACCGACTCTACTCCTATACTGTTACAACCTTCACTCCCTCTTCTGGGACTCACCAGAGGACGTATAGTCACCCCATAGGCCCAATATATCAGAGGAGACTCTGAAATAACGGCTTCTGTTAACAGAGAGGTTAAATGTTAAACACAGACCCTTACCTTATTTCTGGCTAACAACCTCCTGGCAGGTGTTTATTTCAATACCACTGTTTCCATTAAAACTGGTTTAATCAAAACACAGCTTTAAAATTACAACCAAATACAATAAATATGTGCTCTATGTGCTCTCCATCCTTGTACATACAAAAGGCCACAAACCAATTCACTCAGAATAATGTTATCTCCACCAAACACAAGGCTCTCCCACTACTACGATACTCTTTAGACTATAATGAACATATTACACTTTAGTTAACACCATAAATATCCATGATAGCCCAGATAATAATGTGCACCACACAAGCTTGGCCCTCCCATCCTCCTCAACCTAGCTACCGAGAGATCCGCCGAAACCAAAACAATGTTCCAATACTTTCTTGTTTCATCAACATATAATTTCTAATTCTTTTTATACTTCACACTGTTATGTAGTTATGTTTTCCTCAGTCATCCCATTGAGTGTCTCGTTTTCTCTGGACAGCCTATAATCACTGTGAAGGTTAAAGTCTTCTTAAGATTATGATATATGTTTTGTTATTCTGATTTGTGATATGTTTTAGTAACTGATATGATTAAAGAACACTAATATATGATTTTTTGAATCGGTTTTCAATGTGAGAATATTGCAGTGGTTTAAATGAAGAATGTTAACAAAATGTGGATAAGTTCGTGAAATCGTATTGGAACAAGGGGCAGCAGCTCTCTGTCTCCGGGTATTAAGGACATGGTATGTTGTATCGTGAAAAAACCCACAGGTTTTAAGGGTATTCCAGTGTTTTCTGGTAGTCAAAGGATATTATAATCTATTTATGAAGCATACTTGTAAAGTAGAGAGAGAACATATTGTTGGATTAAGATATATGACTGATATTAATGTAAACTTTGTGGAAACTATCAGCACGTGTGAAACCATTATTGTTTAATATACTTATGTAAATGTTCTATTTCCCGATCCTGATCATATTTATGTTTCAGCATAAGGGAGACTGTGACAACACCTGCTTCTTACAGTCTTTCATAACTGTATAAAAAATAAGAATACATTCTCCAAAGTTTACATAGTGAAACAAATACTCGTATACATACTTATATAAAATAATCCAGACATTTTTTAAAGTCTTTACCATAAGTTTGGAAATTCGATTCTAAAGAAAAATGGGAAACAACAGAAACTAAATACAATGGGTAACTGAAACAAATATTGAGGACCGTAACACTACAGAGACAGTGAAGAAAGTGATAAAGCGAGGCATTAGTGACCAGTAACGACGTTAGTAAACAAATAGACATACTAAAGCCTAATAAGTCACCAGGTCCCGATGAGTTATTTGCCAGAGTATTAAAGGAATGAAAGGAAGAGCTGAGTAAGTTGTTTAACACGTCATTAAAAACAGGTGTAGTACCAGAATCCTGGAGGATAGCGAATGTAACACCTATTTTCAAGAAGGGAGATAGATCACTATCCTCTAACCACCGTCCAATCAGTCTAACATCAATTGTAGGCAAATTACTGGAAGTACTTGGACCATTACTATTTATTATACTGTATATATAAACGACATAAGTAAATTTGCTGTCTACACTAAAATAGGGCGTCAATTATATCTGACGGTCACAGCAAACCTTCAGAAAGATCTAAACCAATTTTTCGAATGGTCTGAAAAATGGCAGATGAAATATAATGTGGACAAATGTAAAGTACTTAGTTTAGGAGATGTAAACAGGGAAACCAGATACCAGATGAACAACGATGTTATTGAGAAATCCGACTGTGAGAAAGATTTAGGAGTAATGATAAGTAACAAGGCTAATAAAGTACTTGGGTTCATACAAAAGTGTGTTAGTTACAAGACTAGCGAGGTCATCCTAAAACTACTGTATATCTTGCGCTTTTGAGACCACACTGGATTACACAGTTCAGTTCTGGTCACCGTACTACAGAATGGATATAGAATCCCGAGAAAGAATTCAGAGGAGAATGACAAGACTAATCCCGGGCATTAGGAACCTTGAGTACAGAGACAGGTTAAAGCATCTTAATTTGCACTCCCCCGAGAGACGTAGAGTGAGGGGCGATATGATAGAGGTGTATAAATGGAAGGCAGGGCTAAACAAAGGTGATATAACAAAGGTACTCAAACTATCCAACCAGGAGCGAACTCGTAACAATGGTTTTAACTTAGACAAATTTAGATATAGGCGGGAGATAGGTAAACATTGGTTTGGAAATAATGTAGTGGATGAGTGGAACAAGTTACCAAATATCACCATTAACTCTAACACGCTGGATAGCTTTAAACATAGGTTGGATGGATATATGAGCGATAGGGGTTGGGTGTAAATGGGACTGTCCAGTATGGGCCAATAGGCCCGCTGCAGTTTCCTCCATTCCGACGATGTCATATTCTTAATGCATTTGTAAAGTCAATCTGAGACAACCCCCAGCAATATTTCTGTCAGCTATACGAATGACATTATTTCACATACTAAAACTCATCGTGAAATGCACACCAGCCTGAACCATGTATACGCAGCCTGTGAGAACCTCGGTCATATTATCTCCACTGAGAAAACTGAGGTGTTCAACAAACAAGCTGGGAACCGCAAACACAGCCCCGCCAAGTTCAAGATAGGTAACAACACTATTGACTCCGTTTCTTCTTTTAAATACCAAGTTTTGTTTAACTCTCTGATTACGAAAAGGAACTTCCCCAGCTGAACAAAATCGTCTCATGGTTGCCAGAATAAAACAGATAAGAAAACATAATAGTGAAGGGATTAATTAGCAATCAGAACAATCAGGAAGTGGGCAACTTAACTTAACTTAACTTAACTTAACTTAACTTAACTTAACTAATGCCCACTAACGTCACCTAACCAACCCGTATCTAACCTTCTCGCACTTCACATCAAAAAGGAATTCTTACATACAACTCTTTCATCGTTTCAACATAAAGTAAAATGAGACAAAACCAAAAAATAAAATGGAAAAAAAATCTCACATACGGAACAATAGATTGAGAAAACAAAAACACTTCTTCTCGACTTTTGATTAAGAATCTGGCTTTCAAGTTACACTGTTGTTTGGGTATAATGGTGTAGTAGGGAGGGAGAGGCCATTGTGTTGTTGGCTGAGGGTGAACTTTGATCCAGGAGCAGCAACACCAGGAGACTGTGGTTGAACAGGTGTCAACAGTCTCCAGGCCCAGGAGACTGTGGTTGAACAGGTGTCAACAGTCTCCAGGCCCAGGAGACTGTGGTTGAACAGGTGTCAACAGTCTCCAGGCCCAGAAGACTGTGGTTGAACAGGTGTCAACAGTCTCCAGGAGACTGTGGTTGAACAGGTGTCAACAGTCTCCAGGCCCAGGAGACTGTGGTTGAACAGGTGTCAACAGTCTCCAGGCCCAGAAGACTGTGGTTGAACAGGTGACAACAGTCTCCAGGCCCCGGTAACTGTGGTTGAACAGGTGTCAACAGTCTCCAGGCCCCGGTAACTGTGGTTGAACAGGTGTCAACAGTCTCCAGGCCCAGGTAACTGTGGTTGAGGTCAAGACAGGTTGGGGCCTAGTACCTAGTACAGGTTGGGGGCCTAGTACAGTACAGGTTGGGGCCTAGCACAGGTTGGGGCCTAGTACAGGTTGGGGGGCCTAGTACAGGTTGGGGCTGGTTGGGGCCTAGTACACAGGGTTGGGGTCTGGGTTGGCCTAGTACACAGGCTAGTACAGGTTGCCCAGGTTGGGGTCTAGTACAGGCTAGTAAGTACAGGTTGGGGCCACAGGTTGGGGCCAGGTTGTACAGCTAGGGCAGGCTGGGGCCGAGTACCTAGTACAGGTTGGGGCTAGTACAGGTTGGGGCAAGTACAGGTTGGGGCCTAGTACAGGTTGGGGCCTAGGGCCTACAGGTTGGGGTCTAGTACAGGTTGGGGCCTAGGTTACAGGCAGGACCTAGTACAGGTTGGGGCCTAGTACAGGTTGGGGCCTAGTACAGGTTGGGGCCTGAGTTGGGGCCTACACAGGCTGGGGCCTAGTAGATGTTGGGGCCTAGGTACAGGTTGGGGCCTATAGTACAGGTTGGGGCCTAGTACAGGTTGGGGCACAGGTTGGGGCTAGGCCTAGTACAGGTTAACAGGTTTACAGGTTGGGGCGTAGTACAGGTTGGGGCCTAAGTAGTACCCTACAGGTTGAGGTTGGTGTCCTATGGGGCCTAGTACAGGTTGGGGCCTAGTACAGGTTGGGGCCCTAGTTGGGGGCAGTACAGGTTGGGGGCCTAGTACAGTACTACAGGTTGGGGCCTAGTACAGGTGGGGCCTAGTACAGGTTGGGGCCTAGTACAGGTTACAGGCTGGGCCTAGTACAGGTTGGGGCCCAGGTTGGGGCCTAGTACAGGTTGGGGCCTACAGGTTGGGGCCTAGTACAGGCTGGGGCCTAGGCTAGTACCCTACCTAGTACAGGTTGGGCAGGTCAGTACAGGTTGGGGCCCTAACAGGTGGGGGGCCCAGGGTTGGACCCATCCTAGTACAGGTTGGGGCCTAGTACAGGTTGGGGCAGGTGGGGCCTAGTACACAGGTACAGGGGGTACAGGCTGGGGCCTAGTACAGGTTGGAGACTAGTACAGGTTGGGGCTAGCAGGTTGGGGCAGTACAGGTTGGGGCCTAGTACAGGCTGTGGGTTGTAGGGGTCCTAGTACAGGTTGGGGCCTAGCACAGGTTGGGGGCCTAGTACAGGTTGGGAGCCAGTGTGTGGGTGAAGGTGATGAGGCAGCCTGTGCCACCAGGGGGGTCACCTGCCTGCCTGCATGACAGGTTTTTACTCCCGCGGTTAATTGGGTGTGTCAGTCGAGGTGCCACAGCCTGTATACCTGCCACAGCCGGTGAACCTGTTACAGCCTGCATACCTACCACACCACAGCCTGTATACCATGTGTGGCGCCGAAACAACATAAGGTAACATACCTATAAAGTTATGTCTTAAACAACCAGTAACTGTATTAAATGACTTTATGAAGTCCCCCATATCTTGTAACACATCACAAAGTGAAGAATATAAGGTAGTTAACGGAGATATGATCACCAACAACGGGGCGGCCGAGTGAGGGGTCGATGACGGCGTCGGGGATGTCACAGAGATTCAGTGTTCAGTTTAGTGTTGACATCCTTAATGATCTTCTTTACCCTTCCCTCCCGGACACCCTTCCCTCCCGGACACCCTTCCCTCCCGGACACCCTTCCCTCCCGGACACCCTTCCCTCCTGGACACCCTTCCCTCCCGAACACCCTTCCCTCCCGGACACCCTTCCCTCCCGGACACCCTTCTCCTCACCCTCCCACCTTCCCGGACACCCTCCTCACACACCTTCCTCCCGACACACCCTTCCCTCCCGGACACCCTTCCCTCCCGGACACCCTTCCCTCCCGGACACCCTTCCCTCCCGGACACCCTTCCCTCCCGGCCCATAATAGTTTCTACTGCTGACAAGGTAAACTACTGCTACAAACTGTCTTACAATAGTTAATAGTTTGACTAATTACACAGGTAAACTAAGAAACACCTGACATCTTGCCTTTGAACACCTTTAATGAATTAAGTTTAAGGTGACTGACTTTCTTTGGTTAGTCTGTGGTGTAAAATATTAAGCCACACAATATACCAGACAGACGTGTGGAGACTGTTGGTAGCTCTGGTCTGGGGGGACGTGTGGAGACTGTTGGTAGCTCTGGTCTGGGGGGACGTGTGGAGACTGTTGGTAGCTCTGGTCTGGGGGGACGTGTGGAGACTGTTGGTAGCTGTTGGTAGCTCTGGTCTGGGGGGACGTGTGGAGGCTGTCTCTGGGTCTGTTGGGCTCTGGTCTGGGGGGACGTGTGGAGGCTGTTGGTAGCTCTGGTCTGGGGGGACGTGTGGAGGCTGTTGGTAGCTCTGGTCTGGGGGGACGTGTGGAGGCTGTTGGTAGCTCTGGTCTGGGGGGACGTGTGGAGACTGTTGGTAGCTCTGGTCTGGGGGGTTCGTCCCGAGACAACACACACGTCTCCGAAAGCGTTGATTTTAGGAATAAGAAAATAATTAAAAATGTATTCTATCGTTATTTGTTAAGTTTAATACAGATTTATCTTATTTCCGTTTGTAGATTTGTTTGTTTGTTTGTTTTAATAAAACAAATAAAGCGGGTAAACAATATAAATAATTCTGTTTACTTTTGTCACCAGTTGACTGACACCACTTTGAGACATCGATGACGTAAGTGTTTCCAGGGTTCAGGAACAGCCTTTCGAAACATCAGACTCAATCATCCCCAAAACGAGTCATTATACCAACTGAAGTATTGGCATATAATCTTGTGTAATACATTGCCTTGTACTTCATAATTAAAACAGATAAAGTCAGAGACCCCTGAAGCTACATGTGTGAAGAAACGAATGAGTAAAACACGACCAAACTCAGTCCGTTATAACACTGGGACGAGGTCTTGAGTCTGATTCAGTTCGCGGTTCCGGATTTATGAGAATGTCAACAGAGGCCGCTAACAAGACAACACACACAGTGCTGTCTGCCTTAGAGCCGGTAAGGTGAAGAGACTGAAATTGACGAGGACAGTAAGGAATCTCAGTGTGTTCGTCAGTGTAGTAAAGTGTTTGAAAGTGTCGTGAAATGTATCAAGCGTCACACAGTATTTATAAGTGTCGTAAAGTAGTTATACTGTAAGTGCCTTAAGTGGTCTAAGTTGCAAAAGGTGATTTTAAGTGCCGTAAAGTTTTCATAAGTATTGTGAAGTGATCACATGTATCAATACGTGTTCGAAAGTAACGTAAAGTGTTTATAAGTGTTGTAAAGTGTTTGTGTTAAGAAGTTTTATAAGTGATATGAAGTGTTTGTGTCATGGGGACTTGTAAGTGTCACAAAGTAATTGTGGGCGCCAAAAACACCCATACGTGTCATAAGTGGCATAAAGTGTCAGGGTGGCATAAGGTGTAATAAGTGGCATAAAGTGTCAGGGTGGCATAAGGTGTAATAAAGTGGCATAAAGTGTCACGTTATGTTATAATGATTCATGAAGTATCAAAATTGGTAATTACTAACGACTGACCCGCGGCCGATTTTTTAAAGAAATTTTTTTTATAAAAACGTCACAATTTCACTGTGTTTTATAGTGGACGCTGTCGGAGTTTGTGCAAATGTGTTAAAATGGTTATTTCTAAATTAAGCCTAACCTAACCTTAGTTGATATGAAAAAGCAAGCAGCAGAAGTGTTGTTAGAAGACCTCACCAACCTAACCTAACTTCCTACTCGTACCACCTTGTATATTACACAGAAAGAACTTACTATGCTATGGTGTAATTTAATATTTTTTTTGACATGAGAGCAGCCGTCCGTATCAACCAGGTCTTAAGCATACTCTGAGCATCGCATTGATCAAGCCCGAGTGGCAGTGTGTTTTGAAATTCGTCAACATCACCGCCACATTACCGCTGAGAAGACAGAGTAGTGAGCTCCTAGGCCCACAATTATCTACCAAACGAAACATTTGCACAAGAAATGATTATCTTATCAGAACTCACCGATGAAAATAAAGTAAGAAAATAAACAGTAAAACAAATAACTCGTCCACGGGTCAGTCGTCAATATTAACCCTCAAAGTGTCTTGAACTATCATAAGGTGTGTCGTGGGGTACAGCAAGGTGTCGTCAAATGCCACGAGGTGCCATTAAAGATGCTAAAACGGTGCCAGGAGGTGACCCTGTATGGCACCAGGGATTCTGCTACCACCAGCACAAGGTAACTACTAATAATATTATTGTTGTGTTCTTGACATATTGAACAAGTTCTCTTGGTCATCCATTTGGTACAATCTAATACCAGGTATGGCCAAGTTATTATAGTCATTGATTATCGTTTAATTTGTCAGTTAAGTCTGGAGTCCTTCGCATCCCACAATAGTTTTAAAGGAACGTCAAGCTTTTACCATTTATCTTTGAGGACGTCGGTGTCCCTCCCTTATCAATGAGTCACCGTGATGCCCCAACTCGCTCACACGGACGTCAGACCCACTCTTTACTCTTACACCATCTTTGTAGTCGCCTGTGGTCCCGTCGATGTCTAAGTGAGTGTCTCCCCGCCCCTTTCCCTCACGCAGTCTATGAGGGTATCGAGTCCTCCCCCTCCGTCCATCTTCCCGTTGAAGCCTCACCCCTTCCATTCAAGTGAGTACAGTGATCACACTCACCTGTTTTAGAGGCATCCGTATCTCTCTGAAAAGTTTTTGCTACATTGAGATAAATCGCCCCTCACCATGCTGTCATGGTTTCATTGTCCTGCTTTACTGGCTATTAGCTAATCTGTTTTGTGTTTTGGAGGCGCCGCATCCTCTCTATCAGCACGAATTGGTAAAACCTAACCTAACCATTGGGACTGGAGCTTAGTGATAACAGGTCCCAATCCCAGTAAGTACTAATTCCAATTCCAATGGATTCCAGTTTTAATGGGCAGAGAACCATTTGATCTTGAAATGTTCAGTGTTGACTGTCACAGCTCAGCATCAGAGACCAATGTTTTCGGTGAGTTGAGTTTCTCCTCCCATGTTAATTGTGTGGCAGCGTCCTCACACTCATGCCTCAGGAAGCATTAGACCACCTCCTCGTGTTTTAAGAGCATCAAAGTATTTTAAGATGGGGTATGCTACCTTGTGTTGTGTCAGCGCCACACATGGATACCGCTATGATTGTTGAACGAAAAAGTTTTCTCGTCGGTGAACACTACTCTCCTCCAAAATTCCTCCTCCTTATTAATATATTGTCGAGTGAAGGCGAGCCTCGAGACACAGTGGGCGTCTGTCAACTTTTCTGGTCAACGCTCAAAAGTGGAATATCTGGTGGTTATGACCAGTAGCCTGTTTCAAAGCTCCATCATCATGCTATATATTCTATCATGTTTGTAACTAAAAAGGCATGGATAAGTTTTGGAAACAGAAAGAAAGAACATTTTTAATACATTTATCCATGCTAACGTGTTGGGGGGGAGGGGGGGGGTAAGAGTTCACTTTACACCTTGGCTGACCAGCGACTATTGGTCCACGTTTCTGACGCATTCATCAGTCCTTACCATCAGTCCTTTTTTCTCAAATTGAAGTTAATGTCTCATTCCATTAGGTCTTTTAGAATATTAAATGCTCTATTTGCTTGACCTATGCTTGTTTTGATTTCTTCCGATGTTTCTACCTTCACAGCAAATGTTACTTCCCAAATACAAAAACAAAATTCCACTTGTTAAGCTTCCAATTGCCAACCATAATTTTTATTTTAATATTAATTTCCAATTTGTAAACAATTATTACCTTCGTCTTTGCAGCATTATCTGTTAAACCTTATTTATTACCTTTTCGATTAATCTATTAACGAATTTTTGCAAAAGCCATTTCACTGTCTGTGATAAGAGCAGTATCATCTACATACGTATATTTTGTATTACCATACCAATAGGCAACTTATATAGTATGAAATAGCCAAAATGGATATAGGCGGTCGTCGTTACATTGACTATATTGTTACCTCATCAATAGAAGGACTACCACTGTTCCAGTGTTACAGAAGCGAAGTTAAAGATATGCAACTGGGACCCTAAGGTGTAGTGCTTAGTCGCAGTGGTCATTGTTCTTATGGATACATTATTAAGTCAATCTCAGACCACCCCAGCAATATCACAATCAGCTATGCTGATGATATTCTCATACAAACGAAACTCATCGTGAAATGCAAACCACCATGAACCATGCTCACACAGCCTCCGACCTAGCTTGGAGAAGGACGTGCCCCTAAGTGCTCGTGTTAGTGACCAGAGAAATGACCGCCGGGGATCGTTGTGTTGCGGGGAAGAATGACTGTGTGTGTGGAAAGACGACCCTCTGGCCACTCTGTTAAGTCAGCTGGAGCAGTTGGGAGAGAGATAGACGTGTTAGGGGAGAACAAAGCCCTCAGGACTGAACTCCTCCAGGTAGGTGTCCTGCCTAGCAGGACACCTGAGAGATAACAGGCGTGGAGAGTGGTTGCTTCCAAGGGACTAGGGTCAGACTCAGGAAAGCTGACCAAGGTGTGGAGTGCAGCAACCCTACCAAGTGTTGGAGGAAGCTAGCGAGGAAGAGAAGAGGCAGGACGGTGTGGTGCCAGGAGAGAAAAGGGCATTTGTTCAAGCCACCAGTGGTAAGTCGTGATAGTAAGAGACAGCCAAAATCGAGGTTCTTAGATAGAACTTTTGGCAAGAGACAAAACGTGGGACTAGGGTGTGTTTTCCTGGGGCTGGGATGAGACATGTAGCTGAGGATGAATGGTTTTTTGTCAGGGAAGGTACCAAGCCAGTAGTGTGTGTTAGTGTGAGTGACATAGGGAAGGTTAAGTGAACTTTTCAAGAGGAATAGGGAGGCGCTGAGAAGGTTAGAAATAGGGGATCCGACAGTATGTGGTGTCTTGCCTAGAAGAGGAGTTAATCTCAATGGCTGTTCACACCAATTGCTATAAATTTCCGACTGGAAAAACATTGCAACAATCGGCATTCATTGATAGCGGCAACCATTCTATGTAACGACAACACCAACAGCCATGACAGAATACACTTGTCTCCTTGAGGTAAAGACGTTGTCTGCATCCTGGAACGTGAAATTGTCTCAAAGGGGTTTCGCCAGTAGAGAGGTCAGGGTAAGTGAGAGTCAAAAACAAACAGGTCCTAGGGAGTAAAATTGGTTACTCAGGACAAAAGTAAAACAGGACCAGGAAAAGTAGGTTTAAATGTATACTACACAAACAGTAGGAGCATTAGAAATAAAAAAGGCACAGAGCGGTTTGTATGTACCGAGAATGTAGACGTCATAGCAATCACCGAAACTTGGATAAATCTGGCGAGAAAAACTTTATCAAGTACCACATAGAAGGGTACAACCTTTTTTTTTTTTTTTTTTTTTTTTTCAAGTAGGGAGGGTAGGAAGGGAGAAGTTAGCACTCTTCGTCAGGGATACATAAAAAATTTTTTGTATTAATAATTCAATAAAAATTTTTGGAACAACTAATTACAAGAACCTACTAGGGTAACAATATATTGGGCAATAGTATTAACAAATAAAAAATATTATCACAGATATCACAAT